GTGGGAGAGTGGATGAGGGGCTTTTCACTGTACATAGAGTCACTGGCATGATGCCCTCGCTCCCCTCCCAGCCTCTGCCTCTCAATGTGGGGCATGTCTGGGGGCCACGGGAGAGCAGTCTCATCTCCTGTGTGTATGTGTGTGAGTGGTGGGAAAGCCAGAGGCAGGACCGGCCCCAGCCCCTGCATGGATTCCTCGTGGCTTTTCTGTCTTTCGCTAGCTTCACCAGTTTTGTTCCTGTGGGATGCTGCTCTAGGGATACTCAGGAGGTCCCTGCTCCCCTTCCCTTCTGCCTCACAATCCCCCCCAGGCAGGCCCTGCAGGTCCCATTCTCTCCCAGGCCCTAAACTTGGGTGGCCTTGCCCTGAGAGCTGGTCCTCCAGCGAGGCCCTGTCAGCGGTCTTAGGCTTCTACACGTGAAGGTATGTGCCTGTGGTATGTGGGCTACTCTAGGAGTGGACACAGGCCAGTATAGAGAATGCAAAAATCTGGAGCAGTATGCTTTAAGACAAGACTGGTCGTATGGCTGGGGCACTGCTTGGTAGCTGTGGGGGTCCTCAGAAATGAAAACGAGTGAGGAGGGTAGAAGCTTCCATCTTTGTCCCTGGGAAGCCCCTCCCAAGACCCTTGTGCTATTTCCTGCCTCCTGGGTCCTGCAGTGGGTTGCCCTGTGCCCTGAGTCCATGAGCCTGTACGGGGAAGGAGAAGAAAGTATGTGGCAATGAGAACTGGGAGGACAGTGCAGGCCCAGCACCTAGTGCACCAGCCTTGCTGGGTCCTTACCATTAGCCAAACAGGAAGGGCTGATGTCCTCTGGCCCTTCCCAGATGGCCACCCTCCAGATCAGTTTACAGTCTTCTCCATCCCGGGGGCCTGCTGCATGGCAGTGTCCCACAGTCTGATTTGGGGGTATGCCCTTCATGGGCAGATTTTCTCTCTCCCATTTCAACAACAAAAAAGAGAGGAGCCTCTGTTATGTCTGACCCACTGCCCCTTCTATCGGGGCTTAGAGAGAGGCCCAGGTGCCTCTGAGCCATGCTGAGTTCCTTTGCTGGGATGAGGAAGTGGAATAAGACTCCCTAGTTTCCTGATGGAGGCTCCTGGCAGGTGCCCTTTGTCAGACCCCACCACAGCCTGGGCAGGCAGCCACTCTGGTCCCGGCCCTTGCTCAGCACTCTGGTGGCGGGCGGTCCTGCCCTTCTCCCTGCATGCCTGTGGGTCTGCTCTGGTGTTTGAAGATCAGTGGGCTAACTGTGCCTGCTGAACCTGGCAAATAAATGTCACCCTGCCAAAGCCTCTGGCCACCCTCTCACCTTTGCTTCCTCTGTCTTACTGGGGAGGGGCCCCTGGAAGGCAGTGGGGAGGGGAGAGGCTGGAAGCTGGTTAAGAGGTGGCGGCCTGTGTTTAATGCCACGTGGCTTGCTTGGGTAGAAAGTGCAAGCATCCTCACGAGTGTGTTACTGATGGTGGTGACGGGTTCCTTGGGACTGTGGTAATCCATATGGATGATGGGTCCTGTGCAGGACTTGTGCCAAGGAATAATCTCTGGGCTGCTGTCACGACAAGTCCTATTTAACAAGGAGTCTTTGTCTAACTTAGGCATTGATCTAGAACGCATCAACTACCTTAGGGAGAGACCTTTCCTATAGCCAAAGCGGGCTTCCCTGGGTTGGGGAGAGGGCACAGGGTGGGCATTGCACAAAGGTTCTATGCTCCCCTTTGCGTTGATCTTTCTTCCCGGGAACAACACTTGTGCTTTCCGCATAGGCCCCAAGGATTCGCTGAGTCTACTTCAGGCAGACAAACCAGCTTTGTATTGTGGGGCTTCTTCTGGGGAGAGGGGAGTAGGACTGCTGAAAAGAGTTGAGTGGTAACTCCTAGGAATACTTGTTCCTTCCCCTACCGGCCCAGGTGAACTCACCAGGGCCACTGCTCCTTCTCAGGGGAGACCCAAAGATAACTTACGTGAGGTGGGAATAAGAAAAAGGGCTTTGTTAATCACTGGTCCGTGAAACACCTGGGCCTCCAAAATTCCAACCCTGCTACAGTTCAGGGGCATAACTGATCCTCCCGGGAGCTAGGAGCTGAAGTCAGGGTACTTGGCCTTGCCGCCTGCAAACTTGGGGGGTCGTCCGTCACGCGGGGTTAGGACCTGTGTCCTTTCCAGGATGACTCCACAGCCGAGGGCTGGGAGGGCGGAGCAACCTTTTGGTCTGTGGGAACTGTGGGCTTCCAGCGTACGGTCTGCCACTGCCCGGAGCGCGGGGGCCCCGCTCGCCATCGTCCTGTCCCCGTGCGGCCGCGGGTGCTGACGCTCCCGAAGTTCAGAGGAGGCTGCCATGAGAGAACAGGGCTGAGGGGCCCGTGCCCGGCGCGCCTTGCAGCAGCTCCGGCTTGGCCCAGAAGGCAGCCCGGCCGGCGGCGCAGTTGCTCCCGCTCCCGCTGCCGAACCGGCGCCGCAAGACTGCGGTACCGGCTGTCTTCCCGGGAGCCGCCAGAACGCGACCGCTGACAGGTTCCGGCTCGCGCTCAGCCGCGGGGTTCTATTTGGCCGCTGGGCCGTTAATCCCCGCCCCCCCTGAGAGTTTGCCCAATCCGGACTCAACCTTCAGGTTCTGCCTCCACGTTTCGCGTAGCCACTTCCGGTCCTACCCCGGAAGTCGCTCAGTGGAGCCAAATTTGAAGGGACTGAGACGCGGGGGCGCGGCCGAGGAACTGGATCCGTGGCGGTTTCCTCGGCTCCCTGGGCCCGTGGAGTCCGGGGATCATGCCTATCCGCGCGCTCTGCACCATCTGCTCCGACTTCTTCGACCACTCGCGCGACGTGGCCGCCATCCACTGCGGCCACACCTTCCACCTGCAATGGTGAGTGACCACTGTTCCGGGGCTGGGCGCGCTCTCCGGTACGGCAGCAGGAATGTGGGGTGTCGGGCCTTCGGGCGCTGCCGGCCCCCGGAGCCCAGACGGGTGATGGCACTAACGGAGCCTCACAGGAGGTTGCCGACCTGGACAGAGGCGGGTCAGGGCAGGCTTTCCGCAGGAAGTGGCAGCTGAACTGGGCCCAAGGGGACAGAGTTAGTTCAGTGAAGAGAGAGTAGGGACTTTCGTGATCGGTTTTTGTGAAGAGATGTGACTTCAAAACTGTTAGCCCAGGCGGAGGCGAGCTTTCACCAAACTGACGAGCCCTTTTGTTTCTTCGAGATGGAAACCTGGTAGGCCTCAGGCTGCCCGATTTGGTGTGGTTTGCTGGTTTGGAAGGCTTCTCTCCAGTCATGTCTTTGGTCGGACACCCCAATGTATACGCTGACGCCGGCAAAACCAAGTTAACATCTAAGGGCGAGGAGGTGCTCCCTGATCGAGCCGCGCTGCTAACCCTGTAGAACCGTTCTATTGGGTACAGCGGGTGGGGAAAGATTCCTGCAGCAGCTGTGCACAGGCTGACGCAGAGCTCTTTGCTCCTTAATTTATCGTGGTAAAATAAACATAACAAGATTTACCATCTTAACCACTTTTTTCTGTGTTTTTTTTTTTTACTGTATACCTTTTTATTGTAGTAAAAATATATAACATAAAGTTGACTATTTTAACCATTTTTGTGACCAAAAAAAGTTTATGTAACAAAAAAACTCAATATGAAAAAGTACAGGACCCAATTTTAAAATAGACCCTTTTGGTTTTTTTGTTTGTTTGTTTGTTTTTATAATTAGAGCATTTCTTTTTTCTTTTTATCTGTTGATTTCAAAGAGATGAAGGGGGAGGGAGGGAGAGAGGAAGAGAGAGAGAGAGAGAGAAACATCAATGATGAGAGAGTCAATGATAGTCTGCCTCCTGCACACCCCCGACTGGGGATGGAGCCCGCAACCCCCCGGCATGTGCCTTGAGGGGGAATCGAATCTCAATCTCCTGCATCCTCACCTGGCCAGGGGGTGTCTTCTTTTTTTACTGTGTGTCTTTACAGCTGTCAGTTTCCCTCTTAGTACTGCTCTTGCTGTATTTCATAAGTTTTGGTATGTTGTGTTTTCATTTATTTTAAGGTATTTTCTAATTTCCCTTGTAATTTCTTCTTTACTCATTGGTTGTTTAAGAATGTTGTTTAATTTCCTTGTACTTGTGAATTTTATTTTATTTTTTTCCTGTTACTGATTTTTAGTTTCATTCCATTGTGATCAAAAAGATACTTTTTAAAATTTATTAAGACTTATTTTGTGGCCCAACATATGGTCTGTCCTGGAGAGTTCCATGTGCACTTGAGAAAAATGTGTACTTGGCTCTTATTGGGTGGAGTATATAGCTGTTAGGTCTAATTAGTTTATTTTGTTAAAGCTCTCTATTTCTTTGTTGATCATATGTCTGATTGTTCTATCCATTATTGAAAGTGTGGGGTATTGACATCTTCAGTTTTTGTTGTAGAACTATCTATTTCTCCCTTCAATTCTGTCCAATTTTCTTTCATATATTTTTGGACTCTGTTGTTACGTGCATATGTGTTTATAATTGTTACTTCTTTTTGTATCGAACTTTTATCAATATATATGTCCTTTTTTTTTTTAACTTATAAAGTCTATTTTGTCTGACAGTTATGTAGGCACTTCAGCTCTCTTTTTGTTACTATTTTTACTTATCCTGGTTGGGATTCATTAAATTTCTTCAATTTGTGAAATGATTTCTTTAATTAGTTTTGGAAAATTATCAGCAATTATCTCTTCGTGTATTGCTTCTACTGCATTATGTCTTTCCTTCTGTATTAGTTTCTCATTTTGGCTATAACAAATTACCACTAACTTAGTGACTTATAACAACACAAATATGTTATCTTGTAGTTCCAGAGATCAGAAGTCCAAAATGGATCTTACTGGGTTAAAGTCAAGGTTGGTAGGTGGGGCTGTGCTTTTCTTGGCTCATGGCCCCTCTCACAATCTTCAAAGCTAGCAGTGTTACATCTTCCGATCTCTCTGTACAACTCTGACACTCCTGTCCCACTTGGAAGTATCCTTGTGATTACATGGGGCACACCTTGATGGATAATCCCCCATCTGAAGACCTTTAACTTAATTGCCTCTGCATAATCAGTCCTTTCTAATGAAGTAAAGTATTCACAGGTTTTGGAAATTAGGATGTAGACTTCTTGGGGAAGGACATTATTCTACCTAATGCTCTTTCTGAAACTCCTAATTATATGTATGCTAGACAGTCTCTCAGTATCTTCTATATTGTTTATCGTCTTTTTAATTCTCAATGTTTCCTCTCATCTATCATTTCAGTTTACTGATTCTTCAGCTGTGGCTAAACTGCTATTAAACTCATCCACTGAATTCTTAATTTTGGCCATTTTGTCAGTTTTAGAATTTCTCTTAGGTTCTTATTAAGTTCTGCTATATCACCTTTTACTTTCTAATTTTCTACTGATATTTTCTTTCCTTTCTTTTTTTAATCTTCACCTGAGGATATGTCTATTGATTTTACAGAGACAGGAAGGGAGAGAGAGAGAAACATCGATGTGAGAAGGAAACATTGATCAGTTGCCTCCTGTATGCACCCTGACTGGGAATCAAACCTGCAACCTTTTTTGGTGTTCGCTCCCACCAACTGAGCCACCTGGCCGTGGCCATTTTTTACTATTTTCAATATTGATTTTGATTTCTTTAACGTAGCATGTTATGGTCTGTGTCTCGCAATACCAATATCTGAAGTCTTTGTGGATATGTTTTGGTTGGCACTTGTAGCACTTTTATCCTTGTGTGACTGCTCACTTTTTAAAAAACCATTTTATTGAAATATATTATCAAAAATATGCATATAGTAAGTGTATGGCTTGCACAATTTTTACAGCTGAAGAAGACAAGAAACAAGACATCAACACTCCAGAGACCTCTTTGTGCACTCTTCCAGTTACTCCCATCAGCCACTTCTCCCCCACACACAAGGATAACCAGTCTTGACTTCCAACAGCATAGATGAGTTTTGCTATTGTTTCACTTTATGTAAATGAAGTCATATACAATCTGCCTCTTTTTTTTGGCATCTGGCCTCTCTTCCTCCATGTTATGTTGATGTCATTCATTCATAATATTCTTCTCAGTTGTAGATTCATTCATTCTCATTGCTGTGTAGTATTCCATTGTGTATGGTTAGCTTTGATCATACGTTGCACACAGTATCTGAAAAATTATTTATAGAAAAAAATTGAGGTCTAGGATAATGATATCATCTTCCAGAAAGGACTTTCTCCCTTGTCCCTGGGGGTGGTAGAGTCTACTAGTCAGAGACTAATTTAAGTAAAGTTTAAGGCTTGAGGTTTTGTTGGACCACCAGATAGATGATGGAAAGCTGGGCTGTGTGTTGCTTTTACTGCTTCTTGCTTTTACTTCTAGTTTACCCTTTGAAAATACAGCTTTCTGGAGTTCCAGCTTAAAGTGGGGCTGTTATTACAATCCCCATCTCTGAGGGACCCTAGGTTTTGACTGTTGCGCCCCCCCCCCC